CACCTCCCTGGCTGGGGATGGAACGCAGGAACAGTGGCTGGCGATAGCTTGATAGCCCTGAGACAACCGCTGAACCACCAGAGAGGCCCTAATATTATTTTAAATAAGATACATTTGTAAATAACAATGCTATATACACTTATGCCACAAAGAATAATTTTTGTTAGTATTGCAGCTTATTAAGGCATCTTCTTATACTTAGAATGATAAAGGCTACCAGTACATTTTGCCACACTTCTCCCAGAAAGGTTGTGTGAGTTTGAAATCTGTCTCTGCAATATATGAGTGCTTCTTTTACTTGGTTCTTACCAAGAAGGGATACTCACTTTAAAAAATATCTTTTTCGGGCCCTCCCTGGTGGCGCAGGGGGTTAAAGCATAGCACTAAGAAGCTAAAGCCACTTCAGCATGAGTTCAATTCCCGCCTACTGGGGAGGTGACCATAAAGCGTGGCAGACCTCTCCTGACCCACCTGCTGCTCCCCTCAGCAGTGTACTTCATTGATTTGCCTGTTCTGCTCCCCGCTCTGTCTCTGGTACCACACCTGCACCTCTGGCCTGTACCTCAGTTCTGTATGCATAAATAAATAAATCTTTTTTAAAAAAGATCTTTTTCTTATCACTGGTCAACAGTTTTTTTATTTTTATATACTAAAATTTATTTAGTGGTTGATTACTATGCTTGCTTGTTAACCAAATTGTCTTTTCAGTATTTGACCCTGTACTGTGAGATGATCCTACATTTATTTTTGAAGTGTGTGTGTGTTTTTAAATGTAGGATTATCTCGTGTCATATCTATAAATTATCTACTTCCTTGCTCCAATTTACTTTAATGTTGGATAAAATACATAATTAACTTAGATCAAATTTATCATATACACATTACTTTCTTTTACTCTTTGATTTATTATGCTTCACAGAGATTGAATTATTTTACAAATTGAAGGCTTATGGCCACCCTGCATCAAGCAGGTCTGCTGCCTTCATGTCTCCGTGTAATGGTTAACTAAGGAATTTTTTTTTAAAGATTTATTTATTTATGCATTCAGAGCTGGTGTACAGGCCAGAGGTGTGGGGGTGGGAGAGGATTCACCAGAGACAGTAGGGAGCAGAACAGGCAGATGTACAGAAATACACTGCTAAGGGGAGCTGCAGGTGAGGTGGGAGGGGTCTGCCCGGCCATGTGTTCACTCATGCCTCAGTGGCTGCAATAGCTTCATAGTGCTGTGCTTTAACCTGTAGCGCCACCAGGGAGGGCCTGGAATGTTGTTTTTAAAGATATAATGCTATTGCATCCTTCAATGACCACAGGATAGTATAAATTAAAGTTTTCCATATACTGAGAAAATGGGTTTTTAAATTGCCAATTCCCTTTTTTGCAGTAGACTGGAATCCAATTTGCAATATCTTCAAAGTATGCCTACAAGTAATTTGAATTCAATACATCATTTCCTTTTTAGAACCTCTCATGGGTTTACCTCAAGTCTTTTGAAAACTATAAGATTTTTGAATGACCTTTATGTTTTTCAGTGATTCCCCATGTGCTAATTGGTGAACAGTACCTTAATCATGTTTAACTAACCTTTCCTTCTGTGCTTTCCATTCAGCTTTTTTTTTTTTACTTTTTTCCTTCAGCCTTTTTATATGGTCAACCTGAAGAGCCTAGGATTTTCAAATGGTTTCCTTGAAGATTATCTTGTCTTTCACTTCCATTTGGAAAGAGTAAAATTACAGGAAAGACTTCCTGTGATATGCAAAATGTCATTTCAGAATCAAGGTGCATAATATGTTGAATAGATTCAGATGCTCTTTAAACTTGTTACCATATGAGATTAAACTAGAGATTGGGTTTTAGTTCACTGAACTCTCCATCTTTCTGCCAAGTAGTGGTGTTCATTTGCCCCGAAAAACGAGGGCAGACTGAGAATTAGGCTGCTGTTTCAATCCCAATGTAATCTACTGCTTCCTGGCCTTGGACAAATCACACAGCCTACTGAGCCTTTATTTCCTTGTCTGTAGAGTAAGGAATGACAATATTTATACCCTTGAATGTCAAGATTAAATGGCTCTCTCAACACTAGCTTGGGGTGTACATTTGCCTATACCCTTTAAAATTTTCTAATTAGTCACTCCAGTTCCTACATGCCAGTGTTTTGGGCCCCCTATTTAAAAATCACCTTTATAGACTGACCAAGAATCCCAGGGGCTTACTCTTCCACAGGAGTCTCCTTTTGCATCCCAGATGGAGAGAAATTAGGAAAAGCCTGGCCAGAGGCCCTGGAGCCATTTGGTTGGTCCCGCCCACTCCCATGTGCCTGCCCCTGTGGTCCCCACCACACACCTCTGTTCCAGCCCCTCCACAGCATGGTAGAGTCAAGTTTGGCCTTTTGAGGGGACTTACTGCAAGTTTCATCCATACACTCAGTTGCTGCGTCTGAGGCCCTGGAGCCATTTGGTTGGTCCCGCCCACTCCCATGTGCCTGTCCCTCTGGTCCCCACCACACACCTCTGTTCCAGCCCCTCCACAGCATGGTAGAGTCAAGTTTGGCCTCTCGAGGGGACTTACTGCAAGTTTCATCCACACACTCAGTTGCTGCGTCTCAGGCCACCCTGTAACACCTGTGCCAGGGTGGTGATCCAGACAAGAGTATCACCAGTCATTACCCCTTTCTTTCACAGTGGGCGACTGGAACTTTATATCTTCCCTTCTTGTGAATCTCAGTTGGAACCATCCTAATTCATTAAAATAATTATGATAATACTGAATTTAAATAGTTAAGGTTACCTTCCCCTCCAGAAGGCTCATTAGTTCGATTTAGCCTTCTCCTCCCAGCTATCAGTGTTGAGTACCAAGCAAATCACAAAAGTTCCTATCACATCTTCTTTGTCAGAAATAGGGTGCTTATGAAGCCTAAATTTGTGGAAATCTGAGAGGTCACTCAAGTGACTCTTTTTTTTTTTAAAATTTTCTAATGTTACTTATTTTATTGCATTAAAAATAATATAATAATTTATTTTTACATCATTTTGTGCTTTTTTTCCATCTCAGTTGTAATCCCTGAGGGCTTCCCATCACCAAATCACCCGTGTGCCATCACCATAGTCCAGTGTACCCCCCACCCCCCATTTTTGATCCCATTCCCCACCCCCCATTTTTGATCCCATTCCCCACCCCACCTCTGTAAAATGTCTCTGGTGTATAGTTGTTCATTATTATTATTATTTTCTCTCCTGGTCCTTTATGCTCCTGCTGTGAGTGAAGCCATCTGGTATTTTTCCTTTTCTTTCTGGCTTATTCCACTAAGCATGATCCCTTCCAGCTCCATCCAAGTTGCTGCAAAAGGCATGTGTTTATCTTTTTTGGTTGCTGAGTAATATTTCATTATGTATGAGTACCATATCTTTTTAATCCAGTCATCTACTTTTGGGCATTTGGGCTGCTTCCATGTTTTTCCAACTGTAAATAAAGCAGCAATTAACATGGGGGTGCAGGCGTCTTTTTGAATCAGTGTTTTTGTCTTTTGGGTAGATACCTAGGAGTGGGATTGCTGGCTCATATGGAAGCTCCATTTTTAGCAGTTCAAGTGACTCTTAAAGAAGATCCTCCAAGGGACTTTATTCACACATCTGTCTGAAATCTCCTCTTAGTAATGTATTTCTGCCCCATCAGACAAGTCAATTATGTATAAAGCACCTAGTGTACCTCTGTCACACAGTAGGTGCTCAGAAAGTGTGCTCTCTCTCATCCCTTCATTCTCATCTCCCCCCCCCCCCCCCCCATTCCTTGAATCATTCAAAATGGGAATGCGTGACTTTCCGATGACCTAGTACATTCCTAATGCCCATTTCTCTGCTTGATGCTGTGGTGTAAATGCATTACAGATGGTTCTGAGCCGTCTGCTGCCAGTTAGCCAAGTTTGGAAAACTTTGGTTTGTTTTCTGGCTTAAAACAAGAATTGTAAGCAGCAGTTCCTCAAGCTGACCTCTCATGAATCCTGGTGAGGTCCTACTCTCAGACCTGCTTTTAGGGTGTGCTCCCCTGAGGCAGTTTAAACCCTCTTCAAATAGTTAGATTTTGTTTTACATTTGTATTCAACTTGTAATTTATACAGGGAACATACCCAGAGCATTTTGTCATGGGAAAAAATGCTAATACAAAAACAAACAATGCAGGTCTAGTGTCCTTAAAACAGGTAGAAGCATTTATAAAGTGTGCCTTGTCACCTACCGCTGCCCCACAAGTAAACTCTGTTCTCCGGGAGATAGGGTGTGGCATCTGCTTTTCTGGAGGTTCAGTTTCTCAGGGCGGTATTTTCCTGTCTAGTTTCGACAGTGGTGCCCGGTTAGAACACACTGAGGGGCCCCTGGGCCGTCGTGGTTAGAGGCTGATTTCAGCCTCGGTCTCCAGATTCCAGACCAAGCTCAGCCCTTCCCCAGGCCCCCAAGCAGAATTCTCAGACCTCACCAGCAGGTTCAGGGGTGTGGCCTCTTAAAGCTGACTCCAGTCTCCAAAAGAAAGTGACAGCTCCCTTGAATTATTCTGGGTGCAGAACTGAGTTTCCACATGTTTTATGAAACATAATCAGGTGCTAAATACCATATTATTCTTGCAGGTGTTTGTATGCTTTAGACACAAATTCTAATAGAAATAGAAAGGAGAAAAACTGAACTTGATTCCAAAGTGCTTGTGAAATTGTGTTTAGTTTCTCCCAAACATTGCCTATGTGGCCTTTTGCTTTAATTTTTTCAGCAGAAAAGCCCTGCTAATGAAATGGGGCGTGGCTTTGGCGAAGTTGCCATTGTTTTTCTCTGGAATTAGTTTTTCTTTCTGCAAAACATTGTATCCTGGCTCTTTGAAATCCCCAATGAATTTGGAAAAATTATGCCTTGGCATCCAACCTCCTTTCCTGGAACACAATGTGATGCTGACGACATAGCGCAGTCATTCCACTGGACAATAAGTTTGCTTGTCTCATTTCACTTGAACATTCAGTGGTGAGTAAGAACACCAGTGGAAAGCCTTACTTACCACCACCGTTTATTATGTGTTTCATGTGCATGATAATTACTTTTATAATGCCACTCATGAATAAATTGATCAGATTAGGGTGAATCACCTGGCTGGCCAATAGCTATTGGAACAATTCTCTGCGCGTGACTTTGTTGCATTATTACAAAACGTGGCAGGATCGACCTGCCCAGCCGTCACAGCAGATGTGCATTCGTAACGCTGCCTCAAGGAGATGAGGAGATGAGAGCAAATTGTTCCAGCAGCTCAGCCTGCCCTGCCAACAGTTCAGAAGAGGAGCTGCCAGTGGGGCTGGACGCACATGGGAACCTGGAACTTGTCTTCACAGTGGTGTCGGCCGTGATGATGGGCCTGCTCATGTTCTCGTTGGGATGCTCCGTGGAGGTCCGAAAGCTGTGGGCGCATGTCAGGAGACCCTGGGGCATTGCTGTGGGACTGCTCTGCCAGTTTGGGCTCATGCCTCTTACAGCTTATCTCCTGGCCATCAGCTTCTCTCTGAAACCAGTCCAAGCTGTTGCTGTTCTTATCATGGGGTGCTGTCCAGGAGGAACCATCTCTAACATTTTCACCTTCTGGGTTGACGGAGATATGGATCTCAGGTAAGTTATGCCCGGGAAATTCGGCTGTCTCCCCTACCTCCACATGCCCCCCCCCCAGCAGTTTGCTAGGGGGGAAAGGTGACACTTTTGTATTAAAAACTACCCAACATTTGGTATAGATTCCTGTGGGAAGTATTTTACAGAGACTTGTTCAACCATGGAAGGACAACTCCTTGCTGACCTCGAAATTTACATTGCTGTGCTTCTCCTCTGCTTTACTGGCAACAAGTTCATTTTGAATAGTGGGGTTGTTTCACATGTGATGGTGGAGACAGGCCTCCTCATCCGGTATGAAGGCCTCCACACCCTTCGGTATGAACTCATCCTCACCCACACTGGCAGCTTTAACAACAGTTCCGGTTTTACCATCTGCCAGGACCTAGTCAGGAATCCTGGGAAACTAATGATGGTGGTTTGGTATCGGTGATGGTGGCATAATAACCAGCATGAGACCTCGTCATTCTGACCAACAGATACTTCTTGAACACCTGCTTTATGAAACAAATATTTGCGGGGACTGGTTAAAGGAGGCTTTGGGGGTAACCAATGGACCTATCTTGCTTCAAGTGCTGCTGGAACTCTGTTCATCTGACTTGGGGAGCAACATCTAAAGGCCTTTATGATTTACAATGTTCTTTCTCATTGCTTTGCTGGTGCTTAACTAAAATCTCATTCCTTTGATTTCAGCCAGTAACTTTATTTCCAGTTATGGTGTAGAACATGCTCCTGGGAAATATTAGGCTTTATTATTCATTTATACTTTAATGTAGATGAATTAATTGCAGAATTTTGGGGGTACTTATCTTAATGTGAAGAAGGAGACAATATATGAGGGAGAATAAAGGAGTCACAGAAAAATTAAAGCTAAAAACAGTGGCTTATGAACAAACTATTTCACCTCCCACTCAGGGAAAGAACCATTTGTACATTTAAGCTTTTGTTGTTCATTGTATATGTTATTTAGTTGAGATTTATTATATGATGAGTGAGTGAATCATATGTGATGGCTGTGCTGGGAGTTGACATCAGCGAGAGCATTGAAGCTGTGGGTTTCTGGTTTCCTACGTGTGCTGACTGTGTAGACTAGGGAATATATTTCATTCTAAGGGGATCATGCCATGTAGCCTGATAGTTAACTTTCATTTGGCAATGTTTTGAGTTAGCCTTTTATCAGAGGAGTGAAAGAATCACTTGATGCATTGCTAATTCAAAAACCTAAGATGCAATGCTAATTTAAATTCAGTCAAGGTATCACTGGCATAGTAATTGGTAAGTGATGAGTATTCATTTACATGAGATGCATATGTCAGTGATAAAGTTCAGGATGGGCAAGTTTTTGGAAAGAAAAGAGCATATTTATTAAGGCATGGGGAAGGGGTTTTCATGTGTTCGTCAGATGACGAACTTCTTGACTCTTACAATAATCTTGTGAATATCCTCTTATTATTCTGAGTTTTACAGATGAGAAAATTGTGACCCCAAATTTATTAAGAATGTTGCCAAATGCTACAAATGACTATAACAGAACTCTGATTTGAATTGACATCTGTTTCACATCAATCTGCAATTGAGGCACTTTCTTCCATGCCATTTAGCAACATAACTAGGTATTCTGTGCTGAGTAGGAGCATAAATTTTTAAACATTGTTTTCAAATACTTCTGGGAAAGAGAATGTTTATTACCTTCATCTATCATTAGCCAGCACTGCAATAAAAACACCAATGGATAGGAAATCTGTCAAAGATAATGTTCATTTTACTTCCCTTTGCCAAGGCTATTCTTAATTAGCCTTTAAATTTGGTCAAATTCTTTAACCTATAAACTTCATCTCCTCATTTGTAAAATGGTGTTAAAATTGCCTATTACCCATAAAGAATCTATTTGAAGGAGGAAATGTGTATGTGTTTGTGTGTGTGTGAATATATATGTATTCACACATATATACATATACATACAGATATGTGTGTATACACACACACATACACACACAGATGCTATGTACATGGTAGGTATGCCATTTTCCTTTAACATTTGATTTTCAGTCTCACAAACAATATAAAAATTAATGAAAAAACTGTTGGAAATGAAAATCTGAAATGGAGACTAAATATTAGACTTCCAAAAATTCATAGATACCAGAAGAATAAAACCTTAATTCTCAGTAAAAACTGAAAATGGGAGAAAATGCAATACTACTAAGTGAAATGATATCCAAGTTCATTACATTTCTTCTTACTTGATCACCAGTGAAAATAACTTAAAATAAAACTTTTAAGCAAAGCCCAGTGGATAGTCATTGATAGTTACCCTGTTTTCATGCTGGATAAAATCCAAGAACATTTAGAAATACTTCCTCCTCTTAAACTGAAACTCTGTATCCATTAACAATGACTCTTCCTTACCTCCAGTCCTAGTAACTGCCAGTCTACTTTCTGTCCTTAGGAGTTTGATTACTCTATGTGTATTGCATAAATGCCGTTATAACAAAGTTGGCCTTTTGTGTTTATTTATTGCAGGGTTTCTTCAAAGTGCTTCCATACAGTAGCACATGTCAGGATTTACTTTCTTTTTAAGGCTGAATGATAATTTACCTCATGTGCCTGTCATATTTTGTCTATCTGTTTCTCGTGAATATTGGCTCATATGCCACTATGAACCTTGGTGTACAAAAACTTATTTGTGTCTCTACTTTCAGTTCTTTTGGGTATAAAGACCTGGGTTTGTGGGCCATCCCTGGTGGCTCAGTGGGTTAAAGCGCAGCATTATGAAGCTAGCTGCTTTAGCATGAATTTGACCCCCAGCCAGAGAGGTGACCTACATGATGCAGCAGACCTCTCCTGTCTCACCCACTGCTTCCCTCAGCAGTGTACTTTGTCATTCTGCCTATTTTGCTCCCCAATCTGTCTCTGGTGAATTCTCTCACCGCCCTTACACCTCTGTCCTATACCCTAATTCTGAATGCATAAATAAGTAAATTAAAAAAACAAACTGGGTTTGAGGTTCTTTTAAGTTTTAGGTATTTTGCGGCAATAGAAAAAGAAAAGTAAATATTCTCTATATCTTCCTGTTTCCAGCTCAGTTTTAATGTTTCTCCTGAAACTATTTAGCAGAGATTTCTCTCTACTTCCTGGCCAGGTCTGTCAACTTTGCATCTTAGTGCCAGCATGGCGGTTGCAGGTGTCAATACATGCTGAATGAATGACTGAAGCAGAATTTCTGATTGCCTATTACAAAAACAACTCTTGAAATACCATTAGTTTATTGGTGTAACCCAGGACAGCTCCCATTGTCTTTAGTTTGATAGCTTTTCAAGCTTGCAGTCCATTGTTCCCTGAGGATGTATTTGTGTCCTGCAGCTCAGACAAAGGATCCTTACTGGTGGTGGTGGAACTTGAGGAGTTCTGTGGCCAATTTTAACCTTTGAACTTTAAAGAAACGCTTGGTCCTTCAGCAGAAGATCTACAAATAGGACTTCAGATTTTTCAGGTCTGATATCATCTAGTGGAGAATGGAAAATCATCCTAAGAGACAGAATTTAGATTGAATTTATCCATAACTCTGTGTACCTTAGTTTCTTTTCTATAAAAGGGAAATAACACCTACACATTAGTGATTGTATAGATGAAAAGAGGAAAATGTATCTAAAAGTATGAAACGGCAAAATATTTAGCACGTGGAATTCAGCATATAGTGCTCAGTGAATGCTAGTTGTTAGTATTGGCAGATAGCAAAAAGGGGAACATTTATATAGGAATTGAAACCTGGCCTGGAACTCTTCTAGAATAGCTTTTTTTTCCTGCATAGAACAACTTTGTTGTAGGCCAGAGGTGAGGGGTGGTGGTAGGGGAGATTCACCAGAGACAGAGTGGGGAGCAGAACAGGCAGATCTACTGAAATACACTGCTGAGGGGAGCAGAGGGTGAGACCAAAGAGGTCTGCTGCACCATGTGGGTTTGCTCCCTGGCTGGGGATCGAACTCTGGCCATCAGGTGATAGTACTGAGATAGGGGCTGAGCTTTGTTGACCTGACCTGATTGCTTTCTCCATGTCCATCTGCTTAACCACATAATTAAACAATTCTTTTTCTTGGTTGATGGTTTTGAATGTCAGGATTCCTGATTGTATTGGTTTGGAAAGAAAACATTTGAATAACATCTCCCAATTATAAAATTGATTAATTTATCTCCCAATTATAAAATTGATGCTACATTTACAAACTTATATTGAAGTATGATTGATTTGTAACATTATAGGTTTCAGGCTACAACTTTATAAGCCAACATGTGTGTCGACTATGTTTGCTACAAGAATTCTAGTTTCCATCACCATTGTACAATTATCCAAATTATCCATCACCTTCCTTCTTTCCTTCTAGTAACCACTATGTTACTTTTACATCTAAGAGTCTTTTGTTGCTTTATTCATTCACTTTGTTTCTTTATCTACCACAATGGAGGGGAAGCATAAGGTGTTTGTCTTTCTACCTCTGACTTATTTCATAAGGTATAATACTCAGTTTCATCCATGTTGTAACAAGTGGCAAGATTCCATTTTTTTAATAGCTGAGTAGAATGCCATTGTATGGCTTCTCTCTAAGTCATCTTTATCCATTCATCTTCTGATGAGCCCTTAAGGTGTTTCCATATTGTACATTTTAATATAGCACACATGTGTGTGATTTCCCTGTTTTAAGGGAGGTTCAGGATATACCTGTTTCTCCAGACTTGCTGACTATGTTTCATTATTCTACTTAATAGTCTGAGGATAGTGATGCCATTCTTCTCAGTGCAAGTGGAATCTTCTTATATTGAAGTCAGTTTTTACCAACAATTTTCCTTTGTGTGAACAGTCAAGGAAACCAGTTAGCTATATCCTCTCTTGAAGATATGTCGAATTCCATGGCAGTAAAACAGATGGTGTGATTTCCACCACGTTCACACATGTTCCCTGCGTGCCTTCCCAGCTTTATTGGTATTTATAGCCATTGGAAGAGGACCACAATCATCTTTAATCGTTCTTGACTTTTTTTCTTTAAGATTTATTTTATTTATTTATGCATACAAGAACTGGGATACAGTCCTTGGAGGGTGAGAGGATTCACCAGAGACAGAGACAGAGTGGGGAGCAGAACAGACAGATCAACTGAAATACACAGCAGGCAGGACAGGAGAGAACTACTGTGCCAATTGGGTCACTTCCCTGGCCAGGGATCAAACTCAGGCTGCAGTGGCTAGGGATAGCTTGATAGTGCTGAGACTTTAAATCCTGCACCACCAGGGAGGCCCAACCTTCCTTGACTCTCACCATGAGCAGTATGGCTTGAATAATTATATGAAGGGTGGAAGCAGTAACCAATGTAATCAAGGATATAGATTTGGTCTAATATAAACCTCTGCCTTTGTTTTCCACAATCGTGCATCTTTCCTTTCTTCTGCTTGAGCCAAAGTCAAGCCAGGAGAAAATGCTGTGCTAGTTCTCTAGAAGTTCAAGATTAAAGTGATATAATATGGAATTCCTTTCAGGACTTGTTAATATGAAGAGCCAAGGAATGTAGCACTATCTTAGGCTAAGAATTTGGAAAATCTCCCAGACACTAATACAGTGGCTTAAGAGCTTGGCAAACTGCTTTTCTCTTTTATCTGCTCTCTGGCTAGGAAGTCTTGCTCAAGGAAGCACTTTTATAGGCTACAATGATTTTAAACTTTCTGTGGAAAACCCTAAGAAAAGTTTAAAAGGAAAAATTTATGTGAAAGTATTTACTCTGTCATATGTAAGAAGTAGGATTAAAACAGTCTGGTATTTGTCTTGGAAGAAACATTACATATACTTGGACATTTAATATAAAATAAATATGGTATATTTTAATTTAGTGGAAAATGGTTTGCTCGCTAAATAGTATGGATACACTTTGTCTTTTTGATAAAGAAGAAAACAGACTAGTCCTATACCTTATGCCATATAAAACAGAAACTTCTGAAAAAGTAAAAAGTGGGTGTAATACTTGGATACCCCGAGGATAGAAGGAAAACCTTCACAAGACAGGAAACTCAGAAGTTCTTTAAAAGGACAGACTTGACTCTCTTATTCATTATGTCAAGATCATAAGTAAGACTGATTAGAACATAACAGAGGCTGATAAATATGAATTATGCTCCTTAAAATGTTACTCCATTTGTACTTGGTACAGCATGATTGTAGTTATGTCTTAATAGAAAATTTCTGTTTCTGGATTACCATTGAGGGTGTCTACCGCTGGAATTCAGCTTGGAGGGGTTTCACACTACAGAATCACCAGGTTCATCCTCTGCAGACACAAAACATGGGCAAGGCAGAGAAACATTTTCATAGCACTAGGGTATTGACACATAGGTTTATTCTTTGATTCATACATTTGTCCAATAATTTTGTTTATGAGCTTCCCCAATGTGCCATAGCAGGAGCTCTGCCAAGTCCTAGGGGTGGGAGACAGTAAGGCGCTTGTCCTCAGGCTGCTCACAGTGTGCCACATGTCAGCAGATGCCCAAGTGCCATTGCAGAGTATGGTGTGGGAGGGTAGGGTGTGGGAGGTATGCCAATGAAAGTGTGTGTGGTGGGCAACAGGAGCTGTTTGCCAGGCATGAAACAGTCAAAGGACAGACACATACGTTACATAGCACAGTGAGGAAGAGCCCAGGGACTCCCAAGTTGGACAAGAAGTGTTTAGAGACCCCTTGCCCAGTGTATGTGTAAACTGAATTTAGAACAAAGCTCTTGGAGATAAAGATAGAGAAAACCGGGCCCTCCCTGGTGGTGCAGTGGGTTAAAGCACAGCACTAAGAAGCTAAAGCCACTTCACCATGAGTTTGATCCCTACCCTAGAGGTGACTCATATGGCGCGGCAGACCTCTCCTGACCCGCCCGCTGCTCCCCTCAGCAATGTACTTCATCGATCTGCCTATTCTGCTCCCCACTCTGTTTCTGGTGAATCCTCTCACTGTCCCTGCACCTTTGGCTTGTACCTCAGTTCTGTATGCATAAATAAATAAATCTTAAAAAACAAATTAAGATAGAGAAAACCTCAGCTAACCTACTGGTAGCCAAGCCATATAGTCCCTCAAATGATGCAAGGGACATTTATTTGCATATTTCTTATTATGGAAAAATTTAAATATCTATAAAAGTAAAATAGTGTAATGAACCCCTTGTGGACTTCACCCAATTTCAGCAATTATAAAATAATTTCTCTCCTTTTTTTTTTCTACTCCCCACTCACCTAATAGGTTATTTTGAGGCAAACTCCAGGAATTATTTCATCTGTAAAAATTTATATTTTTTTATGTGGTAAATTACAAAATATAGTTATAGACTCCATCCATTGTCATATTTGCCTTTCTTTGCAGTATGATAAGTGTGGTTTTCCCATGATGAGGAGGACACTTGTTCCCCCAACCCTTGAGCATGAGCTTGATGGTATCTTGCATTGACTAGCAGAATGTGGCGGAAGTGATGTCCTGTGACTTCCAAATAGAAGCTTCAAGTGTTTGACAGTTTCTTCTTCTACTCTCTAGGGATAGTTCTGCTTGGGAATGGCCACATAACAAGAATGAATATATGTCTTTTAACCTTGGATGTAGGTTTTTCCATGGTTTTGACAGTGCATCTTTGGGGTAGATTCCCAGAAATGAGATTGCTAGGTCAAAGAGTGAATGCATTTGTAACTTTGTCCAAATCTCTCTGTGGGATGTGTCATTTTGCTTTTTCATCAGTAATGAATGATACCACAGAAATATTTTTTCATCTAATTGAAGTAAGATGGCTTCTGCCTTGACAATAGTGTAAACATTCTTATGATAGAAAATGTCAAAATAATCAAAGAGATTGTTTAGATGAAAATGCTGGTGATATATTGTATGAAGAAGAACAAAGGGTGACTGAAGGTATGATAAAAGTCCTGTGGGATCTGTGTTATCTCTGCAGAAGACTTGAGTCTTATGAAGTCCTATGTAGAGTGACTACAATAAAAAAGATAATAGTAAGAGTTGACAAAGATATGCAGATATTGGAAACTACATCTATTGGGAGGAGTGCAAAATGGTAATGTTGCTTTGGGAAATGGTTTGGCATTTTCATTTCAAAAAGTTAAACTTGGTGTTAGCATATATGACCCAACAATTTCACTCCTAGGTTATTTATTTCCAAGAGAACTGAACACACATTTTCACACAAAACATTATGCTCAAATATTCATAGCAGCTTTATGATGATAGATAAAAAGTAGAAACACCTCAAAATCATATCTATGAATGGACAGGTATAATGTGGTGTATCCACACAATGGAATATTATGCAGCTATAAAAAGGAATGAAATACTAATACATGCTAAAGCTTGGATGTACCTGGAAATCATTATGCTAAGTTAAGGAAAGCAGTCACACAAAAAGGGACACATATTCAATGACTGTATTCATGTGAAGTGTCCAGAATAGAGGCAATCTTATAAAGGCAGAAAGTAGATTAGTATTTGTCAGGGACTGGGGGAGGGAGAGAATGGGAGAAGTTACTGATAATAGGGTATGGTTTCTCTTTGGGGTAATGAAAATATTCTGGAAGTAGAGAGCAAGAAATAGAACAATCATGGAAATACATTAAAAACACCTTAAAATAATGACTCTTGTGGTCTCTGAATTACATATTTTAAAAAACTAACTGTATAAGAAAAACAGAAAGAAATCTTGATAGCACCTAGCAGAACATTTGGGACAAATAGATATTCACATAAATACACTTAATTGGTAGAGGCAAGAACTGCTCAAAATCTTTTTAGACACCACAAAAACAGCCATTATTTGTTGAATAATGAGGTAGGAGCGCTTTTTCATTTATTTGCCCCATGTAATCTCCAAATCTTTGTGTCTCAGGAGTTGCTTTGGGTTAGGACAAAATCCTTCATTTCCAACTCTACCTCTTAAGAATCTTCTATGTTTTGCTTTCAGCATCAGTATGACAACCTGCTCCACAGTGGCTGCGCTGGGGTTGATGCCACTCTGCCTGTATCTCTACACTTGGTCCTGGAAACTTGAGCAGAACCTCACCATTCCGTATCAGAATATAGGTTTGTATCCGTCTTGCAAAATGCAATAGTAACAGAAATGGAGCTGATCATAAAAGTCATAACTGTTGTTTACTGCATATCTCCTTTTGCAGGGATTTCATGTTTCTAACTTAACTCTCTAAATGACCCTACAGTATAGGTTCTGTTACTAATTCCATTTCCTACAGCTTTGGAATTGGGGGTTCATGTAGCTGGTAAGTGCATGAACTTGAATTCTTGAGTTTTGGACTGCAATTCCAAACTTGTGTGCCCGGCAGGAGTTCACTTTTGAAATAAAAGCAGAGAAGTTATTTATTTAAAAAGGGAAGAAAACAAAGCAACTCATATATAATTTATTCTGAACCACTTTGACTCTTTATGATTAATTGCATCACAGTGACTCCAGATAGGACTTTGTTGCTGAAGCTCCACTTTTCACATTTTCTGTGGGCCTCGATTTCTTTTGCTATTTAGCATTCAAATGATTCCTACTGATTATTAAGTTGTAGTCACAGGGACAACCTCACCCTGCCTCTACCTAGCTCCTTTCTTGATGTTATTTCTCATTAAACTGTCCTTTCTCTCGAACTCTATGGACTCCCCTTGCTTAGAAAGGAAACGTGGTGAAATGATCAGCCTGCCCTACTTTGGCCCAAGTTTTTTGAGAATTGGTAGAAACTACGATTTATAAAGCTCTAACATGTTAGTCTGGAGTCTCAGTCAGCACTTGGAAGGCTTATGTTGGTGACCAATATTTCAAAACTTTTGAGGTTGCCATGTTGTGGTCACAGGTGGAGTGTATAGAATTTATAAAAATTGAGTCAAACTTTAATTGGAAAAGATGGCTTGATGAACAGCTTTTACTAGCAGTCAGTTACTTCATCATTTTTGATAATATATTCTGTAAAGCACCAGTCAACTATTAAGACTGCAACATGTTATGGGCCACTCACAGAATAATATAATCCTACTTTGGAGCCAGCACCGCAGGCCTTGGGCTCGATTTGGGAAGCGGCGGAAGTGTTAGTGTGTGGGCCTTGCCAGTGAACAGACCTCAGCTCTAACAAGCCTGCCCACAATGCCTTTATGCATCTGTGCTAATTTAAAAGGCATTTCCTCTCCCCATCTTTCGGTACCTGGCTCGACAGGGAGAAGATGAGAGAATGCTTTAGTTGTTTAATGAGAGCTATTTTTTCATTTGTGGCAGGCATTCATTCCTTCTTTTGTGCAGGTCTTTTATGACCTTCGAATAGGGAAATAACCACAGTGGTTATAATCTGGTGTCCTGATACGAGCACCCCAAGAATATCACAGACACAAAATGTTCCTGCTGTTTTCTAATCTTTAGGCTGTCTCTACAATCCCTGTGCTTATCAGAAGGATTCTGAGAGGGAAATGTTGGCCTGGGTGTGGGGGTATTCAGTATTTATGAACTTTCAAATACTCTTCCAAAGATTAAAAAAAAATTTGGGAGGCCCTTCCTGATGGTGCAGCGGGTTAAAGAGCGGCACTGCAAGCTGGCTGCAGCTGCTTCAGTGCAAGTTCCATTCTTGGCTCTGGAGGTGACCCATATGGCGCAGCAGACCTCTCCTGACCCGCCTGCTGCTCCCCTCAGTAGTGTACTTCATCGATCTGCCTGTTCTGCTCCCCACTCTGTCTCTGGTGAAGCTTCTTGCTGCCCCTGCACCTCTGGCCTGTACCCCAGCTCTGTATGCATAAATAAATAAATCTTTAAAAATTTTTTTTCAAGTGGGTATAGAAATAAAATGTAGCTCTAATTAAAGCTTTTATTGAATTGAAACAATATTGCCAAGGATTGGGAAATTCAGGGGAAAGAGCATTTGGGAAATTCAGGGGAAAGAGCATTCTGCCTGAGGATTTTTCTTCTCTTCAGGAATTACCCTTGCGTGCTTGATTGTTCCTGTGGCCTTTGGCATCTGTGTGAATTACAGGTGGCCAAAACAATCCAAAATCATCCTCAAGGTAAGCAGCTCCACATGACAGTCGGCACATCCTCACACTCAGAGATCTGGTGAGGCCAAGGCTGGGTTGAGCAGTCCAGGCCACACAGCCCTTAGCCAGCAATTTTACTCACATATCCCGCATTTTGGGATCCAACCTCCATATTTCCTCCACTTACAAGCTTTGCTCTCTCATAGACCCATAAACCGGGGTTTATGATACCTTGGAAAGCTTGGAACTTGTGCTTCAGCAACAGAAAGGATGAGTCCTGTATGCAGCCAGAGAAAGTAGAGCTCACCCAGTCCTAAGGCTTCCTATAGGCACAGTCAAGGGGAAAGCTGTTGAGTGTGCATGAAATGGACCCCAGTGTTCAGGAGTGTGGCTGATTTGACATATGTGTGAAGGCTGCAACTTACATAAGGGCTACCTTCCAGGTGAATAACTGTCAACATGTAATAATCCAGAATCACTGAGGAGTCTGACAATGGAGTGATGTAACTTGAACTTCCTTCCTCCTTTGACTTTCCAGGGTTGGTTTTTTTTTTTAATGAACAGGCATTTGGTTTTCTCAATCTCCTTGGGTGCTTTCCATTTTTCTAACTTTGTGTCATTTTAGAAGCTGTAAGATTTTATCATGTCCTGCTTTTGTGAAGGTTTAAATTTTTTTTTTCTTATGAAGCAATAATTATGGGCTAATTGGAGGTGCAGCAAATACGGCTCAGTTCTTTTTAGTTTGGGGTTAATGTCTGGCTTTACCTGCCAGTACACTGCTACTCCATTTGCTTGCATGGGTGGGTACGACTTCCCCAGTTTGGCATGAGGTTGAACAGCTCCCACTAGTCCCCCAGGGAGATGAAGGAGGAGAGGAGAAGGGTTGACACCCAAGCAAGTGAGTCAGACACAGAGCTGGAGTTAAACACTTTGCATTTGTGCAGCACACGGTGATGTCAACATTTAGGGGACCCACTTGTTTTCCTTCTTTATTTCACCTACACTAATGAAACAGTTCCTTCTTTTTCACATTGCTTATTTGTCATTTCAGTAGGAGAAAATATTCAAAGTGGCAGTATACGGTCATAATTTTATTTATACATTGAGGAGAATAAATATAATCATGGGGGCCTCTTGCTTTTCAAGTATTTGATCTTTGATTACTTTTTTAAAAAGGAATCTAACAAACCTCTCCGCCCACCCCAGAAAACATGATTTTGATGTTTCCAGATCCTCTATTCATCCATCAATGTCACTGAAGAAGTCAGAAACTTTCCCACCTGTCAGTTTTATTTATTAAATGTAATGAGCAGATTTTACCTCTCCTCCTTTCCTTTGTCTCTTTCATAGTTTTGTGGCAGAAAATATTTAATAAGTACTAAATATTCTAGAGCACCTTAGTACAGATACATAATTTAATTATTATATTGATATAGCCTCATTCTCTGTGCTTAGTTCTTTTTAAAATTTAATGCATTTTCTGAACAATTTGTTCTTGGTAAACAGTTAAGCTTTTAAAATCCCCTTTTGGTAGAAAGATGAAGAGGGACGTTTACCAATCAAACTGTGTGTTCCATTATCTTCTCACCTGTCTCTGTATTTGAGTCCCAGAGCACATACGCAGTACCTGGAGCTGTGTGTTTGTTTTGGTTTCCATGACCATCTTCCTTCAAACCCTGAATAATCAAGCCGGACTCTGTTAGGTGCATCTTCTACTGTCTGTGCCGTATGAAAGAGCATTTTCTAAGCTCCCAATTTTCTCCCAAATATTCCGGGTTTTATTTCCTTTCTGATCTAAACCTCAAATCGTTGGGAAAATTTTTGCTTGTGTTGAACAACAAAAGAACAATATCCATTTGTGAGAGATTAGAGTTATCTGTCAGCACATTTTGCACACAGTACATTAGCTTTAGCTCAATTCCTATGGAAAATTGGATAAATTTCCACATGGAAATTCCTAGTGGAAATTGGGAGAAGGGCAGGAATCAAACCAGCAGGAAGCCATTGGCATCAGAGAGGTGGTGGGAGGAGAGTGGTCAGGCAAGATGGGTATCAGACAGCAGGTTCCCAGCAAGGGAGGGATGTTAGGCATTTGTCAGATTTTACTTATCATATCATGCTGCTCTTGTGAAGATTAAAAAAAATATTTTCTTTAAGTTTTGTTCTATCCATGATAAACTCCACTCTTGTTTGGCCAAATCTTTTGCTTGAAGAAAAAATGATATGATCATCAAATAAGATGACTTAGATTTGTATTGAGCCTAAGCAACTTCTAGCTTAGCCAAGCCGTTTGACTGTTTTAACGTAGGTTTCTTCTCTGTAAGTTGAGATGGGATGTGTGGCCTTTAAGTAATTCCCTCTGTTCTAGAACAGAAGGAATGTACTAGAGCATGTGTGCTAGAGCATGGTAGACTTGGCATCACAGAACAAAAGACCATGATGATTACGTGTACTTATTTTATGGTTTGCTTCAGATTGGGGCCTTTGTTGGTGGGGTCCTCCTTGTGGTGGTTGCAGTTGCTGGTATGGTGCTGGCGAAAGGATCTTGGAATTCAGACTTCACCCTTCTGACCATCAGTTTCATCTTTCCTTTGATTGGCCATGTCACGGGTTTTCTGCTGGCACTCCTTGCCCACCAGTCTTGGCAGAGGTACAGTTAAACTATCCATGCACTTTTTTAAAAAAAAGATTTATTTATTTATGCACACAGAACTGGGGTACAGGCCACAGGTGCAGGGACAGTAAGAGGATTCACCAGAGACAGAGTGAGGAGCAGAACAGGCAGAGCTACCGAAATACGCTGCTGAGGGGGAGCGGGCGGGTCAGGAGAGGTCTGCCGTGCCATGTGAGTCACCTCCAGGGTGGGGATCAAACTCATGCTGAAGTGGCTTTAGCTTCTTAGTGCTGTGCTTTAACCCGCTGCGCCACCAGGGAGGGCCCCATATACTTTTTATGGAGAGTAAATTAAGTACACTGCTCCTGGCAGGCTTTGCTGACTGTGTCAGGGCATGTGAACTTATGGGAGTGGGTCAGGACAACTTAACCTAAAGAGGACAAAAGGTCATGATAAGTCTTTATGTAAATGAGGGCAAGGGCCATTCTGACAAAATTTGTCATGAAGTAGGATTGGACTGTCGTTAGAACCCAGCCTGTTGAAATCTGGATGTAACTTCTTATTCTGTTCTTAATTAACTAAATAGGAGGAGTTAGGTTCACTGAATATAAAGAGAATTTTAAGCAAAAGTGGGGAGATTAAGCCTTTACTGACTATTTACGCCAAATTAAGAAAAAAAGCTAATTATAATGAGCAAGAGGAAAAGAGAGATACACTTCATCAGATGGGAATTTATCATGAATATTATCATTTCTAAATACTGTGAAATATTAAAAGTTATAATATGCTATGCTATATGCTTGTAACGAGATGAGCATTGTCACATGATGATGGAGGAAACATGAATTGGGATAAGCTCTCTGGAAGGTAATTTAGTCCTATTTATAGCTGTTAGTTCAGTGATTTTTACTTACAGAAATTTGTCCAGAAATTAACACTATCAGATAAGCACATGAATATTGATATGGGGGATGATAATTTTGGTGTTATTTATAACTATAAAAAATAGAATCAATTTAAATATCTAACAATAAGGAAATATTTAATTCATGATGTTTTGTGTTATGGACTATGATACATCCTTGAGTTTGGAAAACCTGAGGTAAATTTAAATTTAAAAAGAAGAGATAACAGTAGCATTTTGATTCATAATTTGTTGAAGAAATTTACAGATGGAAAAATCTTGGATGAAATATACTACATACTAATAGTATTTAATTTTGTATGTGGGACTAAGTAATTTTAATTTAATATCTCCTCTTATATGTTTTAAGGTTTTTAATAAGTATGTGCAGTAAAATCATTAAATAATCATAACTAAATAGACTTATTGAAGAAAATTATTGTATGTGTTGGAATTCCAAAGGTGGATTTTAGGAAAGTTTTCACTGGTTTGTCCTATTTCCAGTCTGCTTGAGGATCACTTAGGACTATGCTGGACACTGAGTCAGGCTCCTGCAAGTATATCTTCTTGCTCTGAGCTGATGAAGTAGATCATATTAGCATCCTCTTTTCAACTTAAGACTAAAAGTTGAAAGTTGAAAGTTCAGTGATTTGACTAACTTCACAAAGTTATAATGTAGTGGAGCTAGGCTTTGAACCCAGGTTTGTTGCCAAAAGCAAGAATTAGGAGCACAGACTTGAATGGTTGACATGTAATTGGATCTCTAGTAAAGGTATTTCTGTAGCAAATTGTAGTCAACAACCTTGGTTTTTGTGTAGAAGAATTGGGGTGTAGGCCAGACGTGGGGAGGTGAGGAGATTCACCAGAGACAGAGTAGGGAGCAAAAGAGGCGGATTCACTTAACTGTACTGCTGAAGGGAGCAGGAAGTGAGACAGGAAAGGTCTCCTGCTGCGCCATGTTGGTTACGTCCCTAACACGGGATCAGTCTCCATCTGTACCTGTTACAGTGCTGAGTCTTAACCCCTAGGCTAGCAGGGAGGCCCCAACAACCTTGTTTACACTCAATCCTTGTATCTGCCTTGCCTTGAGGTAGCTTAATCATATCACATTGGTGCCAGGGGTCTGAAAGACACAAGCGCAGTCTGAAATAGTGTGGTGAGCAACAGCGAAAGCAGAAATAAAAGAGCTGAACAGAACTTCGCCACACTACTGACAGTATCTTCATTCCCACATCACACCCCCTATTACCTCCAAATTCCAATCCAGTTTACCTAGTGATGGTGTAAGCTGGAAACACCTTTTCTCTCTTCACCTCTATCTATGAATATAAATGGAGAATTGAGGCAGATGAAAGGGCTTCCTAACGTGAAGCCAAGGTTCTGCCTAGTAGCTCTTTTGCTGCCATCTGCTTTTTCTTTCCCAAGTGTGATTTCTTTCTTTTTTTGTAATTAAAAAACCAAGACATTATAGAAAAGCAGAGTAGCAAAATGTATTTTTAAAACCATTTTAGACATCTGGTTATCACTTAGGATTTTAAACTTGACTTTCAAATATTGTTTCCTATCTGTGACTCACTGTCTATTCTCGTCTCTCCGACCCTCCACTCTCCCACACTGACCTAGAGCACATGCAATGACCCAAGCTCACACCTGTCTCAGGGACTTCAATTTTAATCATTTCTGCTAGATTAAGTGCCTCTTCCATGCTTCCCTTCTTTTCATCTCCCTCTTCCACTGGGAGGCCTTGTCTAACCAGTTTTCATTGCACACTGTAGGTCTCTGGCCTTAGATTAGACCTTGTGTACACTGAGCCTTTCCTGGGTGTAGTTAGTGTCTTTTCACCCTGATTCCTATGCAGGCTGCATAGGATTCTACACCTCTCAGGAGACCCCTTGTGGAGCAGGCACTCAGCGAGGAAATATTTCTTCAGTGGCCTAAGCACAGTCACTTACATTTATCACTCTACATAAGAGAAAACTTAAGAATCGTTCTTATTGCTAGTATGTAACTGCATAATTGTTTTCATTGGTAGGTGTAGGACAATTTCCTTAGAAACTGGAGCTCAGAACATTCAGATGTGTGTCACCATGCTTCAGCTGTCTTTCACTGCCAAGCAGTTGGTCCAGATGCTTACTTTCCCGTTGGCCTATGGACTCTTCCAACTGCTGGATGGATTTCTTATTGTTGCAGGTGAGCAGAGCCTCTGGCGTGTAGACCCGAGATTTGTTGGCCCAACTTACCAACTGCTTTTTGAGTTTGAATGTGCCTGTGCTGCCTCATGATACATTTTTTTTTTGTCATGATACTGTTTTCTGGGAGAAATGGTTGTGTGTAAACAAGATCCTTTAACCACAAATGGAAGTTTCACAGAAGTATATAAAAAAATGTGAAAATGGCTCTCCCTGGTGGTGCAACGGGTTAAAGCATTATGAAGCTGTCTGAAGCCGATCCCCAGCCAGGGGGTTGACCTACATGGCAAGGCAGACCTCTCCTGACCCACCTGCTGCTCCCCTCAGCAGTGTATTTCAGTAGATCTGCCTGTTCTTTCCCCACTCTATCTGTTGAATCCTCTCACCCACCATACCTCTGGCCTGCACCCCAGTTTGGTAACCATAAATAAATAAATCTTTAAAAAAAATATGAAAATGACCTTCTAAATAAATATGCTTCACAAGAAACAATAGGCAATCAGATCCCAGGGTTTGGTGAATCTTCATGAGCAATCGTTGACCTAAAAAAATGACATTGGTTATGTTTTATTGAGTCTTTTGTTGTTGCTAATTATTAAGAATCATAAGTTATTTCATAGTGCTTCTGTGATTAAGAATAGTGAGAAATTACCATAAGGTATTTTTTCAACTATGAAAAATACTATTAAAAACACAGATATTGAAATATTATATATATATATAGATTATCAATCTCTACAGTCAAATCTATATAATTTTGTCATAGAAATCTATAGAAAGTAAATTTATTTTTAAAAAATTACTTTCTGTATATTTTACATCATTGTTCATTTTTGTACAGGTATGTTTCTCCTCTCAGGTATAATCCCTGTAAAGCTCCCACCACCAGTTCACCCATGCACACTCACCATAGTCTCTTGTGCTATTCCCTCCTGTTTTGATCCCTCTCTTTCCCCCTCCCCTGCAGAATATTTCTGATTTATAGCTGCTTGTTAATTTTGTTTATTTATTTGTTATTATTATATTCTTCCCTGATCCCTTATTTGGTTCCCCTAAATTCCTCCGATAAGTGAAACCACTTGTTACTTTTCTTTTTCTTTCTGGCTTACTTCACTGAGCATGATCCCTTCTAGCTCATAGGAGGTAAATTTAAAGAAAGATAAATAGATGCATGTACACACATTTGTATGTATATATTTTAATCTTTAGCCATGTAAGTTTTTGCTGTTGTCAGGGAACAGGCTGTAAGTAATCTGCAATGATTACTCACACAACTGATTATATACTTATTATTGATTGTTATATACTAATTACTGATATAATAAATATCAGGAATACTTGGGGTTGAATTTTTCTAAAACATCAGAGAAATCCTAGCAGAATGAAAGTTCTGGTTTTAGGTCATAGGTTCTTCTCATGGTGAGGCAGTTTGCTGACTGACTGGTGACTGAATAGATGGATGGATGGATGAGCCATCAGCAACCTGATTGATGAGTGAATCTCAATTTCAAATGGCCCATTCCAGGTAGAAATAGCCTTTTGCTACACTGAATCATCTTGTTTCAATTTTCTCTTTTCTTTCTTTATTTTTCCTGTAATTGTTCTATACATATGACCTAAAAGAAATCCCAGAAGTCTTGATAAGTACATGATATCACAAAATTACAGCCTTTGCTAAAGTGATCTTTTAATGCTTGTATGTCAACACCTAGCATATCAGCTGTACAAGAGGAGAGGGAAGAACAAACACAGAAAAGAGAACCCAGAGTTTACAGAAGCCTGCCACAAGACGTCCACTTCTCCCAAAGAGACGCGTGCCTTCTTGGAGGTGAATGAAGAAGCTGGTGTAACTCCTAGGCGATCAGGACCACAGGACTCTTGAACCAGCGGGCCACATCTCTGCATGTATACAGCAGAGGCCTGTTGGTGTCCCCTACCCATCCTGCTCAGCGGCCAGTAAAGAAACTGCAGAGCTGACGTGTGAATGGCATTGGCAGTGCTTGTGGAATATTTGAGTGCTAGATGTTAGAATATTTATATTTTTGTTGGATTGTGAATGGGATAGGTATCCCTTTTTGAGGATGTATTCTGCTGATTTCAGAGAGTATTTTGAGGGGTTCACACAGCATATTTACTAAGTGCTATGTGTCTCCTTGTCTTCCCACACAGTGAAGAGCAACCCCCCATGGTAATGTGGGAGTGATGAGTCCAGAGGGCTGTCACCTTGTTCTTCAGGGCGAAGGCAGAGTCTAGACCTACTTGACTTCTGACTTAGCAGTACTGGGGAGGAAACAGCTCTTACAGAAATGGGGTCCTTTCTCAAGTGAGATTATTTATGTGCTTCAACATCTTTTTGTGTTGTACATTTAATACAAATTTAGAGGAATGCAATGAACACATGAGGTTAAAAGGTGAATGTCTATATTTTTACTCCTTAGGGTAGGCACACTGATACCCTGCTAACATTTGTTTATAGGTTTATCTCTTAAAAAACATTGAGCACATCCCATCTGTGCTGTTTGATAAGTCACTGAATCATGTATTATGGAACATCTTTATGTGTCAGTCTGTGTCCACGGATCTCATTCTTTAGAACAGTGGCTGCATGGGAGAGCATTCTATGCCATGGAAGGACTGTGATATACTAAGCATTCCTTATTCCTAGATATTTAGTTTGCAACATGTAGATTTTAGAGAGCTGCTACAAACACCCGCGTGCCTGTGCAAGCATGTCTGTGGGATCACTTCCTGCAACATGAAGTGCCAGGCCCATTGCACACTAAAAACCTGGACAGGCTGTCTTCGGGCTCTGTCACGTGCAGTGGCACTGGCGGGCCTGGCTTCCCGGCCACCCAAAGAATGGCCAGTTCCAATTTGTGAAACTATCTCATTGAAGACTACATTTAAAAAATGATGAAGTATTTTTTTATGAGCACCTGTCTATTCATGTCTTTGACGACTTTTCTATTGCTTTTTCTTTTTGTCTTACAAAATTTAACACATTGGGGATAGTGATTTGCTAACATTTGATGTACCTATGTACCTTATCTTTTGTTTTTCTGTAATGTCTATCATATGCAAGTTTTAAATATATATTTTTACATATTGTTACTTGTCTTGAGAATGTTTTGTGACCTTAATAGCTGTCAAATTTTAGAATATTTATATTTTTGTATGAATTGTGATTTGTGATAGGCACACTCTTTGAGAATGTATTTGACCTCTTTTCAGGAAGTTCTTTTTGGGGATTTATACAACTTATTTCCTGTCACATGTATTTTGTGTTCCTGTGCAATAAACAGTACCTGGCAGTAGGTGAAATTTATTCTGTGTCCATTGTGACATTATTAATATTTTGTAACGATGATCTAGTGATTAAATGGGTTTCCTGTGTTCTGTGTGCTATTCTAGCAAATTAATTAAACCCAAGGTGGGTGTCTGGGAACCTGACTTACAGTGAGTTGATTAGAAACACACAGATCATAATCTGGGACTTGTGACAGGCAGCTGAATTCTGAGGAAGGGTAGTGGAATCTTTGATCTGTAGTATCAGAGGCAGGAGCTTGCCTGGGGCTTATGGCGACTAGAGAATGGTGGACAGTGCCAAGACTGAGTTGAATTCATGGCCACTGTTGGCGACTGAGAACTACTGCCTGGGGCAGTGAAGCCTCAGCACCCACACCCCATGTTGGAAATTGGGTCCCAGAGGACACCACCTTCAACAAAGTAACTAAAGTTCTAACTGAATAAATTGTGTTTTAACTGGTCTAAACGATAAGTTCATGAAATCCAGGGCCCTATATGAAGCTCAGAAGAGACCAGAGAAAATGTGGTAAACAGAATGAGCCCAACCATGTCTGAAAAGGGAGTGGCCTAGTTGGGGCAGCAAAGGGTATCAACAGACACAGGACTATGGCCATCACCTGACGAAGGAGCAGGGGTGCTCTGGAGTTGTGGGGTAGTCAGCATCGTTGACATTAAAGCCTGGTTCTTGGGCAAGTGGCAGTCCTGGATTTCGGTTCCTTCTCGTAAAGGATGTGGTCATTCAATACTACTCACCCTGACAGGAAGGAAACGTGTTACCTGGAATAACGCATGCGTAGTGAGTAATAGGTGTTCTGGCTTCTTCTTTGTGTAGCCAATTACTCAGAGTGTAGAGACAGATCAGCTCAACTCCTCTTCATGAATCACACTGTAGTCCATCGGTAACCTGTGAACCAGCCCCCGTACATACTTTTCCCACCTGGAGGAGCCTGCCCTGTGGCTGTCTTACTCACTCTGCTTGAACGAAGCTAAAAAACTGGCAACGCTGCTAATCAGCCAGTGTCCTTAGTGCAACCTTTGGAGTAGATTTAATTTTGGGTGAATGGATAAAATTCTCTCTCTAAACCTAAACCTAAAGCTGAAGGCTCAGTATCTGCGATTCCTTTTTTTTTTTTTAAAGATTTATTTATTTATTCATACAGAACTGGGGTATACGCCAGAGATGCAGAGGGTGAGAGGATTCACCAGGGACAGAGCAGGGGAGCACAACAGCAGATGGTACACTGCTGAGGGGAGCAGCGGGCGGGTCAGGAGAGGTCTGCCACGCCATGTGGTCACCTCCAGGGCAGGTGGGGATCGAACTGTTGCGGAAGTGGCTTAAGCTTCTTAGTGCTGTGCTTTAGCCCGCTGCACCACCAGGGAGGGCTCTCTGTGATTCCGTTTTTAACAAAGTTAGATACTTCTGGGATCAGGATTATAAAAGCTGGACACAGCCACTAAGGTGTGATAGCAGCTTTGACAGAGCTGGAAATGCTCACTGCTAGCGACTACCCAATATCCAGTGCTCCTTTGCCTTTATTACTTCCAAGATTGTTTTGCTTTCCTGCCCAAGGCATTGACTGACCTTTTCCTGTCATTTTTACTATTTCCTCTCTGGAATGTAGGTTTAAGAGCTGGAGCTGCAGTAACCTTTTCCAGATCATAAAGGAAAATTGTGTATCTTTGCTGTTCTTGAGCTCATTTCTATCAACTGCTCCCTTCTGAATTTGTTTTCTTAAGGAAACATCTCAGTTTGTGTAAGTCCTTTTGGCTGGGTTTTGATTATTTGCAACCAAGTGCAATTACAAGTTGATCTATGCAAATTTGAATTGGCTTTACAATTGCTGGTAGGTCAACCCATGAATTGCTACTCCCATCTCCACTTAACAAGGTGCCTACCTCCACGTGTCTGAAACATTTTGTCAAAATATCTATGGCTACAGGATAACTTCTGTGAGTGATCATTTTAATTTCTTGGATTTGTCATTGTTTTAGAGAACCAATTATAATCAAGAGTGCTGGCAGGTGATCTAGAACCACAGATATAAACCCCTAATCTTTATCAAAACTTAGAAATATTTCTACTTTGACATTTACAAAGATTGTGATTTGGGGACAAATAGTGATTCTTATCCTGAAATGCTCTGCTACACTAAGAATACCAAGATACATTCTTACCCACTCCCCCCCCACCCCCCCCACAAGATACCATTCTTTCAGGCCATGGAACTATAATTCTGTTTTATCGTTTCCATCATGAGCTCTCTGTCCCAGGGAAACTGCTCAGCCGCACACTCCCCAGCTTCCTTGTACTCAGAGGCTGTGTCAGGCCGGTTCTTGCTGTGGGAAGGGTCTAGCGATTTGCTCTGCTTCCAGGCCCACCCCCACAACTGGGCCTCTCTGCCCTTACCCACCCCCAACCCCCTCTGGCTAAGGAATGGAGATGTTGTCAGGATGACCTTGGAAGTATGTGTGATTACAGAACCCTCATGAGTCTGGATACCCCCAAATTGGGGGACAGCTGCTCCGGTGAGCTGTTTATCTCCCCAGGACTGTTAAACAGAAAGAAGCTTCTATTGTCTTCTGGCCATCATGTTTGGATGTGCATTTTATCATGCTTAGCTGATGTGTGCTAAGTGTATTTATTCATTCATCAGATGCTTGAGCAGCGCCAGGTACCACCTTGGCTCTGGGGTGTCACGCCTTCTAACCAAGAGACCCAGCAAATGGCTTGCTCTGTTCCGGGGTTACAGCCAGAGGAAGGCTGTAATGTACTTACTATAATGAAGTTTCCATGCTGGGTTGTAAACTGAAACCTGCATTTTCTCGCCACAGTTTTCCATTTCCTAGCTGTTTGCCAGAAAAAGGATCCTTCTCTAGCTTCCCCCTCTCCTGTTCTTGATGACATTAGCCACTTGCCATGGTTCTGCTGACCTGGTTTTCTAGGCAAAGACAGGAAAACAGGCTTTGTGGCCAGAATTGGGGCTTCCAAATATTTTAAACAAACCTCCCCCCTGCCCACCAATGAAATCTTTAGCTACAACTGAACATTTAAAAGTTGTTCGGACTGATGTGGGAATGCTGACGGTGACATTACCAGATTTGAAGGCACTTCTGAGGTATACTACTGGCAAGAAAGTCAAACATCGGTGTTAGGCTGTGTGCGTTTACTGGTGTATCTTCTGCCCTCAAATAGTCAGGAAGGAAGCCAAGCAATTTGTTGCACTTGGGTAGGAGCAGAAATTTAAGTTAATCAACTCAGAATCGCTCAGTCCTCTGAGGAAGAAGCAAGCAGTTCCTGGAACTTGGTGGTATCCCTCAAGGCGATCAGAACCAGGGGGTAGTGAAACTTGTTCAGGGGCTAAGCAGGCCCTCAGGGCTCAGCTCTCTCTCTCAAGGCAGAGCCAAATATAAATCTGTGGCCTGGTTCTATTTTCTTTGATGACTCCTGGTGAGCTGAGATAGTCTGAGTTTCACTCAAACTCTGAACAGAAACATTCTCATTATGTATTAGCCACAGCCCTGAGAGTCTTAGCTAGTTAGTACCTGGCCCTCACATCAGACCTTGAAGAAGGTGTGCCAGGGTTTCTGACACTTCTGGGACCAAGTGGGGACACGGGAAGTTGGCCCCCACAAGTTCCTGCCTTCCCAGGGGCCTGGGTATTAACAAAATGACACACTAAAATGTTTAATTTGTTGGCAAACAGTTCTGGCTTGTTTATGTTTAAAGGTGTGTGTTTATTTACAAGGTGAGATGATACATAAAAAGAGTTGATGCAGTTACAAACATCTGATAACTCCATTTTGATGAAAAAGTATATAAATATATTACAGGAAATTCTATATAGTAAACATTAGAAACTGATACAGTAAACATTTGCTACTTTTTCTCTATGCCAATATTACTGTCATTTAAAGCTTAAATACTGGTTTCAAGTATCCCCTATAAAATAACTACTTTATTTAAAATACTGGAAAAGAACTTCACTATGAACAGGACTGGTGTGTTAAAAATAGACTGAGTGTGTTTTGTAACAATGTCCATTATGATCAAATGCTGCCTTAATCACCCCTAAGATCTGCATTGTTCCGTTAGTGCTAAATCCTTTTTAAATAATTATCACAGGTTAAATTAGCTGTAAAAATACAGCACTTCCACATTATTATAATAGCTATGGAGAATGCCCCTCTGAGGTAGAGGAGAGTAAGCATAAAGATATGATCTGCACTTGCTGCCCTGTGATCTTTATCTGAGAGAGAGCAGGGGCGTCTGTGGAAGGTAAAGAGAGAAATGGAAGGTATCCGGAAGGTTTTCCTCTTCATGTCATTTCAGAGGCAGGAGTTGCTCTTTTTTGCTCTTCTTCAGTTTGAAGACGTGTCAGGACATAAAGGATGACTTGATAGCAGAAAATATATTGATCCTATGGCAAAAAAAGAGGGAGAGGGATTAGAAGCATATGTGAATTTGTACATGAATGTGTGGTTTCACCACTAATGGAGTGATACTTGAGTACTTCTGAAAATATGGGGAAAATGTGCTCCAGTGTTGAACAGTGGGAGGAGAATGTAGAATTGTGCAGTGTCATAAAAATTTAACAAACAGACTCGAATAGCCAAAACCCTCATGTCTAAGAAAAATCAAAATGGAGGCATTACAATCCCAAACTTCAAGCTGTACTACAAAGCCATAATAATCAAAACTGCATGGTACTGGAATAAGAATAGACATACAGACAAGTTGATTCGAATAGAAAACATAGATATAAACCCACAAGTTTATGGACACCTAATTTTTGACAAAGGAGCAAAGAAGATACAATGGAACAAAGAAAATTTGTTCAGCAAATGGTGCTGGGAAAACTGGGAAGCTACATGCAAAAAAATGAAACTAGATCACTGCCTCACTCCAGTCACAAAAATCAACTCGAAGCGGATTAAAGACCTAGACATAAGAACGGAAACCATAAAATACCTAGAAGCAAAGATGGGTCAAACACTACACCACATACACTTCAGCGACATCTTTAAAGACAGAGCACTCACCACCACAATAGTGAAGGCAAGGATAAATAGATGGGACTACAACAAGTTAAAGAGCTTCTGTACAGCAAAAGAGACATTACAAAAAACAAACAGCCCACTAGTTGGGAAAACATTTTCTCACACAAAAGTAGTGATAAAGGACTGATCACAAGAATATACAGAGAACTGATGAAACTCAACAAAAATAAACAACCCCATCAAAAAATGGGCAGGAGAGCTAAAAAGACACTTCTCCGAAGAGGAAATGCAGATGGCCAACAAGCATATGAAAAAATGTTCAACATCACTCGTAATAAGGGAGATGCAAATTAAAACCACAATGAGATACCACCTCACCCCAGTGAGAATGGCACATCTTCAAACAACTAGCAACAACAAATGTTGGAGAAACAGGAACTCTCCTGCACTGCTGGTGGGAATGCAAACTAGTACAACCACTATGGAAAACTGTTTGGAGGTTCCTCAAACTGCTAAACATGGACCCAGCAGCAGGGTCCATGTTTACGACCCAGCAATTCCACTCCTAGGTATCTACCCAAAAGACACAAAAACACTGATTGAAAAAGATACCTGCACCCCCATGTTTATTGCTGCTTTATTTACAATTGGAAAAACATGGAAACAGCCCCAAATGCCCAAAAGTAGATGACTGGATTAAAAAGATGTGGTACATATACACAATGGAATATTACTCAGCAACCAAAAAAAAAAAAAAAAAAAAACATGTCTTTTGCAGCAACTTGGATGGAGCTGGCAAAAAGATCATGCTTAGTGAGATAAGCCAGAAGGAGAAAGAAAAATTCCAGATGGTTTCACTCATAGCAGGAGTATAATGGGCCAGGAAGAAAATAACAAGAATAATGAACAACCATATACCAGAGACATTTTGTGGGGGGTGGAGTGGGGAATGGGGGGGTGGGGAGGGAAGTGCACGGGATTATGGTGTTGGCACATGGGTGACTTGGTGATGGGAAACCCGCGGGGATTACAATTGAGATGGAAAAAAAAATGTACAAAATGATGTAAAAATAAACTGTTATAAAAAAAAAAACAGAAGAGGTATCAATATATGAAAAAAAAAATTAACAAACAGAAGCCATATTGCCAAAGCCTGGGGGTGGGATGATGGGGGCTGAAAATATCCCAGAGTGTTAGATGAAGTTGCCTCTGATTGATGACAATATAGCACCAGTTTGATGGTGAGACAATTCTCTACTCTGGGAAGCAATGTGGTGGAGAGAAAAGACATGCAGGGCTAGGAATACCAGGAGTGACTTCTCCGCTCCAGTGTTTCATATAGGGTGACTTGGGCAAGACCCTCACAGCAGAGTGGTTAAAGAGAGGAATGGAAAGGTATCCAAAAGGTTTTTCAGAGGCAAGAGTTATTCTTTTTTGCTCCTCTTCAGTTTGAAGACAGAGGATGATTTGATAGCAGAAAATCCAGTCATGTCATGTCAGGAGTCATGTTGCTCCTTCCTGACAATCCAGCTTGGATCCATTTATCCATTTCATTCAGAGGGAAGCCCAAGTGCTGGTCCTTCCACCTATACCCCGGCTCCCCTTCCCTCCCACACTCCTAAACTTCTCTTCCCTCACCTGAGCCATTGCGCATGACTTTCTGGGCAAGTAAGGCCTACAACCCCTTGGACTTCTCCACACAGGTGATTCTGTCTACCTGAAGGTTCTTACTCCCAGATATTACTTCACCTGCTCTGTTACCTCACTGAATTTTTGCACAAGTGTTACTTTCTTACAGGTGCCACCCAGTTTAAATTAGCATCCCTTACCCGCCACAATTCATCTTCTTTATTCTTTTCCTCTTAAAGCACACTTTAAAAGATAAACACACACACATACACAACTTATGGAATATGCTCATTCTCTGCCTTCCTTATTGTAGCTCCCTAGGAGAGTTTGTTATTCTAGCAGAGAGCTCCATTTTATTCACTCTAGAAACCCAGAAGAGCAATGGTTCATAGTATGTGCTCAGTAAATAGCTGTTGAAAGAGTGAACTTCCTGGGTCTCAAGACCCATTGATCTGTATATATAGATCAATATTTTCTTTACTTAAAAAAAAAAAAGTGACTACATGTTGGCTTACTGTTGAGGAGATTTAAGTTAAAAGGTCTGTAAAAAAAATTTTATATATTAAAGATGATAAACATCTATATAGATTTTAAGAGTGAGAGATGTAACATATATATTTATGAATGAAAATAGCTTCTCCACCCTTCCTCCAATACAAAAAGAACGGGGGAACTACTCAGGAGTCATAATGCGAACGCTGTTCTGTGAAGGACACAGCAGGTGGGTCAGTGGATGATACAAGCCATGGCTTGATTTCAGGTGAGAGAAATGAAAATGATCTAAACAGGAAATATAAACCTGTACACAGAGTCTAGCCCAGAAGTGCCTGTTCTAAGCTGAGCAACTCGTCAGCCTGCTCTCTAGATGTTCAGATGTTGCTAAATCTACTCCTTCTGAAGCAAGTACCTTTTTGTAACAAGAATGCTTTCTATCTCTTTTGTAGGTTGGAAAGAGGGAAGTGCTATGAATAATTCTATGGTAAACTGTATCTTGTCACATTTTGTCCTCAATGTGCTACCCTATTATCTTTAACCTATTCAGGGCTGATTGCATTTCCTCATTTTGAATTGGAAGAAAACATTAAAAACACAAGTATTAAGAGTGAGAGATGTAACATATATATTTATGAATGAAAATAGCTTCTCCACCCTGAAACACAAGTATTTTCCCTGATTTATCCCCCATGTTTAAGAAAGTGTCTGTCAGTACCATTCAGCTTGGGTTTTATACACTAACATAGGAAACCAAACAGGAGAACTTTGAAGACATCAGAATCTTCACAAAAATATTCATTAGAAGACACCAAGACTCACCTCTGTCTGAACCATTCCATGTCTTTGTAGTCTCATGCAACGCACGACATCAGAGATGTCAAACTGCCAAAAGAAACGAGTCCTTATGTGAGATCCTGAGTGTAACTGATTTGAATCCCAAAGATCACAGAAGAGTGGCTTATAGAGAAGTATGCACCCCATTCTCCTGCCCCAACTAATTGTCTTCAGAACTTGCCCTTAAAATAAGTTTCATGAACTGACTTTCTCATCATGTTATACTTTTTAAATGTTCTGCCTGAAGATTCAGGAAGGTTATTTGATTTTACTACTCAATCAGAAAGTTTCCTCCCCTCTATAATTTGACTGATTTCTAAAATTAATCCTTAAAGAAGGAGCACATTATTTTTCCTATATTTTGCTTTTCAGAGTAAACTTTCTGACCTTTTAATTCTTACTGATGTTTGAAACGAGACTATTTTGCTTTGCACTTACAGTATTATGGTAGGTATAATGGAGTGTGAAGTGTGGGAGAGAACTTCTTTTAATTAAGAACTTTAAAGAGGACTTACATTATCTATTATCCAGAGTGATCGATTCTAGCAGCTAAAGTAAGGTATACACTAGTAGGCATATTAATAAAACTGTATGCTTATTAATAAATGATATGCTTATTTGGTAACAATTTTTAAAAATTCTGAGTACTTTCTCAGCAGTGCCGTGTAACTTAAAATAGCATCAGGGGGCCCTCCCTGGTGGCACAGCGGGCTAAAGCACAGCAGTGAGAATCTAAACCCACTTCCTCATGAGTTCGATCCCCGCCTGTCCTGGAGGTGACCACATGGCGTGGCAGACCTCTCCTGACCCGCCTGCTGCTCCCCTCAGCAGTGTACTTCGTTGATCTGCCTGTTCTGTTCCCCACTCTGTCTCTGGTGAAGCCTCTCACCGCTCCTGAGCCTCTGGCCTGTACCCCAGTTCTGTATGCAAAAATAAATAAATCTTAAAAAAAAAAAAAAAAGCATCAGGTGTGGGATGTTCATCCTCTTCAACCTACTCCACTTCCCCCACTGCCAAACTATTTATCACTGTCAAATCCATACAACTTACTTTTTAAATGTGTTTATTATCTCATTTCTTTGTCATCCTACCAGATCTTTGTTATTGAGGAGGGTACTTTGTTTTACTCACTGATATGCTCCTAGCACATTAAATTTAGACCAACTAGCATCAGTGTGAAACAAGATGTGTGTTTCCCGTCTCCAGGTAATAATTAACAAAAAAAGAATGTAAGCATCTTCATTCAGACAAATACTTTCTTTACGGCTATAGTTTTTCCATCTTTACATGTGTAACAATACTGACTTGATCTTATATATGCATAAAGCCTATACATGGGAAAATGCAACACTGCATAATGCACACGTGGTTGGGAAAGAAGCAAAGAAACAAATATGAATGCCAAGAATTATTTCCTCTTGACTGTGGTCTACATAGTTTTAGACAATATTTATTAAAATACAATTATGGGCCCTCCCTGGTGGTGCAGTGGGTTAAAGCACCACACTAGGAAGCTAAAAGCCACTTCTGCATGAGTTCGATTCCCGCCTGCCCCGGAGGTGACCACATGGCGTGGCAGACCTCTCCTGACCCGCCCGCTGCTCCCCTCAGCAGTGTACTTCGTCGATCTGCCTGTTCTGCTCCCCATTCTGGCCCTGGTGAATCCTCTCACCCTCCAAATCTCTGGCCTGTACCCCAGTTCTGTATAAATAAATAAATAAAAATCTAAAAAAAAAAAAATTATGTATAGTAAGAAATTAAGAAGAAAATAGGGCATTCATATTCATTAAAAAAAAAACCGCAAGAACTCACATTATTATTAAAAAACTTGACTTCCCTGTTATTTCTTGTTATATGCTTATTATTTTGTACTCACATCAAGATCTTGACTGATTAGTCCTAGAACCACATCTATGCATATCAAGGTTCCTGAACGTCCAATGCCCGCGCTGCAGTGCGTGATGACTGGGCCCGATGTGTGAATGTGTCTCATGTAAGAGATAAAAGTGAGCAAGTCGTCTGGCTGAGAAGGTGTATCGTGGTCTGGCCAGGCAGTGAAATTCAGATGAGAAATATGGCGCGCCTCTCCTGTCTGAAATTGTATGACAGAATAAGAAGCTACAGGCATACTATATGACTCACACAATTAGCTCATAATATTGTGTTCTTTCAAATTTTAACTTGTCCACTGGTCAGGCCAATGGAAACACATCCATTAAACGACACAAGGAGGATCTTTTTGCCAAGATTTGTTATATCCATATTTTAAGTATTGGTAAACATTAGTTTTTTTAAACTCTGAAGGTAAATTATAGTTTGATATGAATAACATGTTTTATGACCACACTTCAACTCCACCCTAAGTAAAAGACCCACCTCCCTACCCTACCCCTATGTTCACTCAATTCCTGTGAACTTTTCCCACAGCACCATCAATAGCAGTATGTGCGTACTCTTAAATCTTTTCAACAGCATGTGCACATTAGAAAGTATGTGCTCAGTGTGAACCAGGGATTTCTTTCTGTCTCTGAGGACCGAAGCTACATAAGCATGTGCTAAAAAGCCTAAATAATATTGGACAATTGTGTTAGCATAATAATGGATAGCCTGGTATAAATAAGTCTTTTCATAAATTCACAAATTAAAAATCCTAAAGGGACAGCTACATACAAAAGAATGACAATAAACCTTATCTTACACCATATATAATATTAACTTAAAATGGATGAAGCATTAGAATGTAAGACGTGAAACCATAGAATTCCTAAAAGAAAACATAGGCAGAAAGCTCCCTGACACAGGTATTGGTGATGATTTTTTTAGATTTGACACCAACAGCAAAGGTAACAATAAATAAGTAGGATTATATCAAACTAAACGACTTCTGTACTGCAAAGGAAACAAACAAAACAAAAGGTAACCTATGACCAACCTACGCAACACAGAAGAACATATCTGCAAATTACAAACCTGATAAAGGGTTAATATCCAACATATATAAGGATTTATATAATTCAATAGCATAAATCTAAACAATCTGATTTAAAAATGGGGAGAATTTAAATAGACACTTTCCCTCCTAGTGAAGATACACAAATGCTAGGAGGAACATGGAAAGGTGCTCAACAAGACTAATGACTAGGGAGATGCAAATCCAAATTACAGTAAGATACATCGCCTCTCACCCAGTAGAATATTATCAAAAGAGACAAGAAATAAAAAAGTGCTGGAAAGGATGTAGAGGGAAGAGAATCCTATGTACTGCTGGGGGGAATATAAGTTGATGTAGCCACTATGGAAAAAGAGTGGAGGTTAATCCAAAAATTTAAAATAGAACCACTATATTATTCAGAAATACTACTTCTGAATATTTATTCAAATAAAAATACTAATTTGAAAAAAAGGATATGTAATGTTCACTGGAGTATTTATAATGGCAACCTAAGTTTTTATCAGTGAATGAATGTATAAGGAAAATGCATACGCAATGGAATAGTATTCAGTTTGCCCTTTACAATGTGGATGGACCTTGAGGGTATTCTGCTGAGACTGGGTCAGAGAAAAGCAAATACTCACTTTTATGTTGAATTAAACAGCCTCCTCAAAACCCCCGAACAAACTAACTGACCAACCAACCAAGTGAAACCAGAGCTCATGGATATAGAGAATAGATTGGTGGCTACCAGAGGCAGAGGGTAGCAGATTGGTGAAATGGAGAAAGGTATGAAAGAGTATAAACTATAGCTGTGAAATAAATGTCATGGTGATGCAATGGATAGCATGGGGACTATAGTTAAAAACAATTTTTTGTATGCTTGAAACTTGCTATGAGAATAAATGAAAAGTTTTCATAAAAAATCATGAAGCTCATTCACAGGCTATGTTTACATGACACCAACATGACACCAATAAAACTGAGGTGATATACTCGATCTTCTGAAAGTAAAGTTACTGTTTCTTTAAGAAAGCTAAAACTCCAATAGGAAATACTACCCACATCTAGCTACTATTACTGGGTGTGGAAGTGTGGAAACTATAGCAGCTTTACTTAAGGCATGTTCATTTATCTAATTCAGGCTAATTAGGTCACTACACTTGGAAGTATCTGAATGACAAATGTTTGTGCTATAATCGTCCCTGTATTCTCAAATATGGTAAAGTGTTTTTATGGGGAATGCATTCTCTTTAGAGGTTTGAAAACAGTTTTTTGGGTCTACTTAGAGCTTTGACCTTAACAAAAGGAGTTTTCAGCACTTAGTTGTTGACCCATTTTTATGCTGCCACTAAACAAAGGAGCTGAATACGTACATTATTGTTTTTATTACTTTTTATATATACTACTTTCTGGAGGACACACAGAATTCATGAAGAGTGTCAATTAAGCTTATTATTATATAGAAAATATCATTATCCACTGAAATGGGAACCAAGAAGTCAGTGGCTTTCATTAAGAATATGCTGATGCAATCAAGGCAAGAATTTAAGCCTGGATTCCAACGAGGAGATAAGCTGAGACAGCAGGAGGATTTAATTAACTTACCTGAATATCTTCTAGGGTCATTGCCCTTACGACAAAGCCCTTCAGCTGCTGCATTCTCACGAGAGCCAGCCGAAGCCTGTCATTGACCATTGTGGTTTTGCCTAGGACGTTAGGCCAATAACGCTGACATTTGATTTTTTCTCCTTCTACTTCTTGGGTCATCATGGCGATCACTGTTGATTTTTGTTCCCAAATCATCTGCCAGAAATCTCCAACAGTTGTAGGGAGAGGGCCTTGGCAGGCGATATAAACGAACTCTTCTTTCCCCACTGGTATCTTGATGAAGCTGGCGTTGATATACCCACCTTCATCTCCAAGAGGCACTCTTGTGGCATCATCTGTGAATTGTCCACCACAAAACAAATGTCTACATTTAAAAGGAGCCTATGGGCCCTCCCTGGTGGCGCAGTGGGTTAAAGTGCAGCACTAAGAAGCTAAAGCCATTTCAGCATGAGTTCGATCCCCACCCCCAGAGGTGACCCACATGATGTGGCAGACCTCTCCTGACCTGCCCACTGTGCCCCTCATCAGTGTACTTAGTCAGCCTGTTCTGCTCCCCACTCTGTCTCGGGTGAAGCCTCTCACCACCCCACACCGCTGGCCTGTACCCCAGCTCTGTATGCATAAATAAATAAATCTTAAAAGGAGCCATATGAACAGAATTACACAAAGATCATGAGGAATTCCTTATAATCACAGACAAAATTCTATAAATTTAACTGTTAACTTCTGTGATTAGCAAATTAAGACTTTAGCTATAGGTTTCAAAATCTCCCATCAAGTGTCCTTTTTTATTTTCCTGGTGCCTGAGGAAACGCTTACCTATATTATGTCAAAGTGTGATTTATTCCATTTTTTAAATGTCATGTAAGAGTTACTTCTTATACAAAGTTTTTCAAATGAATGTTGTGCCTTCCATCTTGACTGGAAAATTTCAACTACACTATTTATTTATTGTACTATTTGTCACTACTTGTCTGTAGTCTTTGGATTTATGACTTCCTGCAAAGATAGCATCAGTGCTATAATCCAAGGGACTGAAAACATAAATATGGCTGACGATTACCAGTGCAGCCAGAACAATATGTAGCTGTTAGGTGCCACAGCTACTATGACAAGCTTTAAATGAGTAGAATAAATAGATGTTGGTTGTGACACATAAACCTGAGAAATTGCTTATCCAAAAGTTGTAACTTTTAAAAAGATGATAAAGTCACTGATTTGGTATCTCTGATGAATTCAAAGTTGTATACTAGTAAAAATTCATAAATGAAGAAATATTTGAGACTTGATTTTCAGAATACATAAGTTAAAAAGGAATACACATTGTATAAGTGAATTTACTTGCTACTGATATAAATCTCAGTGAGTGTGTTTGGGTGTATGGGTGGTATGTACACACAAGCTAATGAGAGAGGTAGGATAAACTAGAATAAAATTTTAAATAAGTTCAAGTTATATTAAATATACATTTGATTTGATGCCACATTGAAACTTACAGGGAAGTATATTTTTATATCTGTTCTTCTTTCTGTTTTCCTTAGTTTGCCCAATTAGGCACTGATCTAAAGGTTTTAATTCTTGAAGATTCTGTAAGCAAAGATGGAAGGAAATAAAGTTAAATTTGTTGAGATAAGAAATAATTCACAATAATTGCAAATGCTTTAAATGTGCAGAGTACGAAATAGAATATTGACCAGGGCAGGATTTTAGAGTTAAGAAGTATATATTCATCCTGTCAAGATAAGTAAATCTGCCTCAAAATTTATTTGATAAACAGCTATTAAATATAGTCACAAATATTTTCAACTTAAAAAGTTTCCATCAACTAATTTTGAGAGGTTACACACACACACACACACACACACACACACACCAACAGTAAAAGTAATAAAAACAATTTTGGCTTAAAGTAATGAGGTAGTGCAGATTTCTTGACAATATTATCTGTGGTATCACAGACTATTCCATGTAGTAGAGTTGTAGTTTGATAGTCTTGTGCTAATGTTAACTCATCCTTACTTTTCACCCATAGATCCAGCCACTCAACAACTACATATTAAATGCCTACTATTTGCAAGGCTGGGAATAGAGTGGGGAGCAAGAAGATATGATTCTGACTGACATGGAGCTGACAGCCTACAGGGAGAGAGAGGCAGAAAGAAGGAAATAAACATCATGACATATGCACTGAGGAAATTAGCAACCTACTGTGTTAGATAAAAGTAAAGATCTGCTTTATAAATGGTTGCGATAAAATGTCTTTGGGATGATCACATTTACATTTAAGATGTTAAAGAGCAAATCATTTCAACAAAATAGAGATGGGGGGAGGAAAAGTGCCTCTTTTTTTGTAAGCTTATTTCCAAAATCTATTAATGGAGTTACATACCCACACTCTCTCTCACTTGAGCATGAAATACAAAACATTTAGCATGTTACAGATCTCAGAAGATATTAGCCCTTTTAACTTTAGTAGCCACTTTAACAGAAAGCTCAGGAAGTGGGCAAGAAAGCAGATGGTTTGAGGAAGAGGGACAAGGGAACCCCACACCACAGAAGTACTGCATTTTTCCTCTTCTAAGTGGTATATATGGATGGTGTCGGCAAGACCAGAGGAGCAGAGATTCTGAGCCATGCTACTTTGAACTGTAGGATACATTCATGGAACTGTATTAAATTAGAAACTCTAGGTAAGGATGAGCCATATCTACATTATATTAAGCATAATGTCTAGAAGATGGTTGGAATTGAAACATGACCTTTCTCTTTAACTCTTTGTCCCTACATATGAGGCAAAGAGGATACTTTTCAGGGAAACTTATCAAGGTCCAAAGTGGCAAAAGAGACCACTTTACATGAATATTATTGGGAGTCTGATTACAAATGTCAATTTACTATTAGACGTGACAAGATGGTACTTTTATAGCTGGAAGTCAACTATAGATAGGGTTGTAAAGTAATAAGCATGTTCAAAATTTTTCCTCTTTCATAAAACTTTGAGCAAGAAATACATGCTGAAGCCACTTACTTCCAGTTCCTTGGAAGGAATGCCTTGATCCAGTAACCCCTTCAACATTCGAATGACCGATTTCAAATTTGTTCCAGTGTATTTACCAGAGGGTAGCACTCTGACGACCGGGAGCGCAGCAAGCTCCTCAACTGTCAGAAAGGGATGATCTAACAGCAACAAACACGTTAATTAAAAAAAGTAGTTTCCCAGAACTGCTGGAGTCAGCGAGTGCTTAATTCGAGCCCTTTCTCACGACATTTACTTTCACAAAAATGAGTATTAATAAGGTGATAGAATCAATATGTAGCTATCTACAATGAACATAGGTTCTTAATAGCCATAGCAAGACTTCTGTACCCAGTTTTTAACTCCACTAATAGACCAGAAGTTTTGAAGGCCCTTCACTTAACATTTATTTAGTTTCTAAAGGAGTTTAAAGTGTTTCTTTTTGCCTCTCTTTACTCAAATGACACTGCATTATAGATGAAAATGTAACTAGTAGACTCTTCACTTGAATTAGCTTCCCAACATATTAGGAAAAGGTGAAGAGCAATGCTTCAGAGAGAGATTCAGACAAACTGATTCTTGTTCTAAAAAATTAGTTGGATTCAGGGGTAATAAATCCCTATCTTTGAGCCATACTACATATTTTACTATATGTAAAATAGTACACATTTACACTTTTACTTCTCAGTCCAGAATGGTAAAACTGAATTTTTTATTTAAGAAAATGTATAGATTTATCTGTATGTTTTTAATTCTAAGTCACTGAACATTTTAGCTTATCACTATAAACATCTGCTCATACAAATGAAATGGTGACATTTATATGAATTAACTTTTTGTATAAAACCAAATAATAGACACATGGTAAAGTAATTATCGTATATTCTGAAATGTTCAATTTTTACTTATTTTCCTATTGTTTCTGATTTGAAAACTGTTAAGAAAATTCTTACCTTTGTCAGAATTTTCATGGTTTATTGTCTCTATGGGCAATTCATCATTTCCCCAAGTTATTTCATCATCATCAGTCTTCCTTTCTTGGGACTTCTGAATTGAGCTATGAACAACAGAACATATTTGTAATATTTTCTTCAGTTTTGATCCCAAAATAAATTGAAATATGGCTCCAAACCACCAATTTCTCCCTATAATTATTATAGCATTTTAAAATCAATGATCTGAATTAAAAAAAAACAACAACAACCAGAATCTTTAAAATTTATTGATAGACATAAATTAAACTGAGGTGTGGAATTGTTTAATATAGTTATAACTTTATTCTCAATCTTAGACTGAAAGAGTCCTTTTGGGGCAGGAGAAGGTAGTGGTTTGATTTCCACACATCAACACTGATGACTGATTTTAATTCTGTCAGGATACCTCTCTCTTGCTTTTAACGGCTGTCCACTTTGTACCACATGGATGTATGCTATTTACACAAGTCCCTATTGATGTACATATATATATGTGTATATGTTCTTTTTTTGGCTACAGTTGAGACCTGAGTTTTCTGGAAACTCAGTGTGATGAGACTCATTACAAATCTCCACTGTAGGGGATGACTAAAAAACTAATGTTTTTGTAGAATAATGTTTAAGGCTAAAATAGATGAAAAAGGGTAATATAAAAGCCCGAATACATTTTCACTTTCCATTATTCAGGGGAATAAAGCAAACAGTACTTGTGTAAAGAAATTAGGATATACTAGTAAAGTAACACATGTACTAATGTTCCCATAATATTAATAGAGGGCAGCAATTAGGTTACTTTTATGGCAGATGTTTTCTTTTGCTTCAATTAATTTGGGTCACAATTAACATCTAATTTGTCAGTTCTGCATCCATAGGTTTTTTGTCTTCTAGCAAGTAAACTTTGTTGGCAAAGATGTGTTTTGGAGATCCTTCCAATTAGACAGCTGCTTCCCATTCTTTTGAATGTTTGCTTAATAGAAGTTTATTTTGTGCCTATAATGGTTTTTTACTACCATAAACAATGTTGCAATGAATATTCCTGTAGAAATGTCCCTGTATTTACCTATTAGAGGGACCAATTCTTAGATATAAATTGCTAGGCCACAGGATTTATACCCTAGTTCTCTGAATTGATGGCACCCTTCCTTGTAAGATACACTTATCATTTTGTTTATTTGAGAAAGAAATAATATTGATTATTGAGTTAGAAGACTGTATATTTCAGAGATTTCAAAATAAAGTGCATTGGAGAATTTTAACATACAAATAAATTTATATGTTAATAATGTTTCCAATTGCCACCACAAAATTACAGTAATTTAACTTTTTCCTTCTTCTGTTCTCATGTCCAATAAGCTAGAGCTAGTGACTTTACAACTGCCCTTGGAAGTTTGCCTGAATATTTGAAAATATTAGGTATCTCAGGGATAAAACTCTATACACATATACATTAATAATAAAGATCCCCTTATTAAACTTAGTGAAAAATTTACTATCAATTTGTTTTTCTAGGAAAATGCAAGCAGCATCATATATTGTTTTGTACTATGGAGCAAAATTTACATACAGTCACTTTGTGGATCAGTAATACAAGACTTTTCCTAACATTATGTAATGTTAAAAAATTCTTATGTCAGAAACTTTAAAAAAATTCATGGGGTTTAAAATGTCTCTTAAGTCTCTTTGGTTTTATTTTTCTATCAAAGAAGACAATTTGTAAAGTATAGAAAATTCAGAAACAGAAAAATCAGTTTCTACACCCCTGCCAGAAAATAATCCATTTGATCATTGTTGACACATTTCCCTCAGATCAATCAGTTTCCCCCCATGGTGAAGAAAACACTGCTTTTCCTGAGCACTGTTAAACACTATGTCAGAAGTCACTAGAAATCCCTTGCAACAATATTTTAAGAATATTCTTAAAACAATTGTCATTTTATTGAAAAAGAATGACTTAATCTTAAAATCAATTATTTAAACAGAAATTCTCAGAGCACTTCTAAAAAAGAATTTCTTACCTTTCACTTTTTACTTTTTCTTCATGATATTCCTCACAGTCATTCATTTTGGTAGACTACAACAAGGAATAAGAAAAGTCAAATTAGACCATTAAAAAAAATCATCTTGGGCTCTCCCTGGTGGTGCTACGGGTTAAAGCACAGGACTAAGAAGCTAAAGCCACTTCAGCATGAGTTCGATCCTTGCCCCAGAGATGATCCACATGGTGTGGCAGACCTCTCCTGACTGCCTGCTAGTCCTCTCAGCAGTGTACTTTGTCAGTTAGCCTGTTCTGCTCCCCACTCTGTCTCTGGTGATCCTCTTACCACCCCTGCACCTCTGGCCTGTACCTCAGTTCTGTATGCATAAATAAATAAATCTTTAAAAAGAAAAAAGATCATCTTACAGCACCCCTATATTTCCTGCTCCTTTCTATATTTACTATGGTTGGCTACTCTCATATTACAAAAGCACAATAGGATATTATTCATTTAGCATATGTGCCAAACTGGCTGCTGCATGTTCAGTGGGCCAAGAGTTCTTGCTGGTGCCATTTTTTCACCTTCATATGCTTCTTGGCTTTTCATTTCTTAACTGAGGCATGTTAGTGGTATTGAGATAAGAAAAAAGCAAGATGAAAATCTGCAGTAATGATTATTTAGATATGCATATTCAGTATATGTTTTCACACTACTTCAATTTTTTTTTAAAGATTTATTTTATTTATACATACAGAACTGGGGTACAGGCCAGAGGTGCAGGGTGGTGAGAGGATTCACCAGAGACAGAGTGGGGAGCAGAACAGGCAGATCGACAAAGTACACTGCTGAGGGGAGCAGCGGGCGGGTCAGGTGAGGTCTGCCAGGCCATGTGGATCTCCTCGGGGCAGGCAGGAATTGAACTTATGCTGCAGTGCTTCAGCTTCTTTATGCTGTGCTTTAACCTGCTGCGCCACCAGGGAGGGCCCTCACACTACTTCAATTTAAAAAAATGAAAATGTGTTCTCCAAAAAAATCTTATCCAATGTATTAAATTATCTTGCCTTTTTATTATTAAAGTGAGGGATTTCTTGCCATTGGAAAAGCTGATCAATCTGCTAATCCTTTAATTAAATACCATGTCTAAGAAATCTAAACACAGCAGGGACAGTTTACTACAATTAGGAGGAAACACCAAGCTACACTCTTACAAGGTCAATTAATCTTGCATTTCAGCTTTTCTCAGATTATCTTAATAAACGGGAAATTCCTCTCATTTTAAGGACTGAGTGATAGGGCCTCTCTTGCTTTATAACCTATCTGGTTTTATTCTCCCCTTCACTTACTAAGCTTTAAAATCTATAGATTTTTTTATTTCTTCAAAAGTTCTTATCTCTTACCACAACAAAGTTCTTCCTGTGGAAGTTACTTCTTTTTAATTCATAGTAACTGACTTTTCCTTCTGTGGATGGCCCTTACACACTCAATCTAAAGTAGGTTATTTTGGTTATTCTCTTTTGTATGATTAAAAAAAATTCATAGGTCTTATGACAACATGTAAGAACTGTTTATCTGATCATTCTCTTTTTCTCTACTCCATAAAGTTCCATGAAAACAGTGTTATCTCTACTCACCAGTGTGTGCCCACCCATGCTTGACCCTGAGCCATGGAGTGAAGTCTCAGTTATTTGGTAAAATAAAAAGAACCAGGCCTTCCCTGGTGGCACAGCGGGTTAAAGCACTGCACTAAGAAGCTTAAGCCACTTCCGCATGAGTTCGATTCCCACCTGCCCCGGA